CGCCCCGCCCCTTCACCGCAGCGCCCCCTGCCGGCCGCCCCCCGCCCCGCAGCAGCAGCCCGGCCGCCCCGGCGAAAAATTCCAACACCTCCCCCCGGGAAAGGATCCACGTTTCTCGAGGAAAGTGCGTGTGGGGAGAGAGTGGCTGCCGCCAGCCTTCGGAAAAAAAAGGAACCGGATGGGTGCGAGCAGCTCCCGCAAGGCAGTGTGGGGTCCTCCCGGCAAGGGACGCTCGCCTCGAGGGACGCTTCCCGGAGGTTTCCCGAGATCCTGGCAGTAAATACCTGCTCGGTGGCAGTACTCCCCCCAGGAGATGGAGAAACTGAGATGCATTCCCTGTCTCAGGTGGCTTACAGGAATTTTGGCTGTCAGTAGCAACCGCAGAGAGTACAGAAGTAGTAAATGAGGAGTAACACTTTTGTAACGGAGACCACAGCATCACTACAAATACGTCAGGTTTTTTTAGGAAAACTGAGCTTCAATTCAGACCAGTGCTTCTACCCCACGACCCATCTGTACCCATCCAGACCCTCACTATGTCCACGGCAAGAAGTTGCAGTGCAGAATCAGTCCCAGCAGCCAGTAGGACAAGAAGAATCCGAGAATGCACTTGCTGAGGGGGGTAATTAATCTAAAGTTGATCAGCAGCCTCACAAGGGGGTTTTCCAACATTCCTTTCCCGCTGGAACCATTTTTATCTAGAAGTGACTTCTCGGAGTGAGACGCAGTGGTTTGGTTATCAGTCCCCTCACTCCAGAGTAAAGGTTCGTATTCCTGAAGGAGGTGAGCAGAGAACCAGTACAGGATGGGAGAGCAGGAGCCAAGGAACCGGGTCAGCACCTGGAGGCAACAGGCAGAGCAAAAATTACATAAATTGCAGGTTTTTGACTGTGACCAACCCCAAACCTGAGGTGCGGAAGGAAACATCTATTGCCTCAAATGGTCTGCTGATAAAGGGGCCTGAAATACAGCCTCCATTCAGAGTGCCAGGATTTATTACACTGAAATGAAACACCTCTCAGCTCAACTTGCTTTATTTATTACGGCATTTGTGTAAGCAGTCAAGCGGTCCCCAGGTTTTAGACAAGCACAGTAACTAAAAGTCACCATCCCGCTGAAATCCTTGTCACCACCCAGCTCAGGAGCTGCGCAGGGGCAGCGGCTTCAGGGGGGATTTGGATCTCACTCTTAGATCATTTTTTCACTGGAAACCCCAACCTTTAGTGCCGCTGTCTTCTAAAAAGACCTTCTAATGGTTTAGGATAGGGACTGGCGACGGGCTTTGGATCTTTTGTCATCCGTTAAGCTCAGCCCAACATGCTAATGACCCAGGACCCTTGTTCCCCAACAGCTGGTTAGCAGGCCGTGGCAAGCCTGGCCTTAAGCACACATCAAATGTGACCCAACCCCGTCCCGGTGTCCTCACCACACCGAGCACCTGGCCAGCACTCTTTGGGAACTCTCCAGCTGAACAGGGGAACTAACTGGTTTTGGAAACTCTGTGGAAAGAGGAAAGGCAAACGCTTTTGGTTTGCATTGGCCTGTGCCGCCCTGCAGCTGGGACAGCTTCAAGTGGTGACGGTCACTGCCTGGGCCACCATGGGATGTTCCCCTTCAGAAACCTCTCCTGTGTGCTGCTGTGAAGGTCCTACCTGCACGTGCATGCAGAAGAATCCCACCACCAGCGAGACCGTGGCATGGACCACATAGACGAAGACAGCGGGGCAGCAAAATCCAGCCTCTGGTTTACCCTCTTCTTCACTCTTTCTTCTCTCTAGACCAAGAGTTAGGCAGTGCCGGGGGTTTGCAATGAGGTAGGTCCAGGCAGCCCACAAGCCCAGAAGTGTGACAGGCAAAGCAAGCAAGAAATTTGGTATCTGTCTGAGCTCAAAATACCTTAGAAAACCCACATTCCAGTAAGTGTCTTGAATATAGGAATAGACCACAGGGAATCGCCAGGAGCACCAAGGGGGTTTAACCCCATTCCTGCCCGCCAGCCGATAGCCCTTGTCCAGGGCCAGCTGCAGCAGAGGCCTGGGAACAGTCTGCTCCAGGCCAGCACCAGGACCACAAAACCTCACGTAGGCATAATACTGAAATAAAGCAAAAGGTAGAAATATCCCAGCACACATCAGAACCGCTGAAGATGTCACGCTAAGGAGTTGCTTCCACAATGGAGGGAGCTTCCTTAGTGATCCTGAACCCACCTGGAGCTGGAGGGCAAAGCATTTACCGCGAGCGTAGAGAAGGAAGCCAGCATTAATAAGCCCGTTGGCACGCGCCCCAGAAGCGAGGGAGAAGAGCAGTCCACCCAGCCAGCTCTGCCCCTTCTCCAGTTGCCACATGGCACTGAACACCAGGAAGGCAAACACGCTCTCCGAGTAAGCAGCTGCCATAAATACATTGGCAGGGCTGACGGAAAAGAGAAGGGCAGCAAGGAAAGCCACCCCGCGACGCTGCAGCACGACGCAGCCCAGCTTGTACAGGGCAGCGGCTGCCAGGATGGAAAAGAGAGAATTAAGAAGCACGGCCGAGAGCAGGAGGCGGCTCCGCAAGCGCAGCAGCGGCTGCAAGGGCCACAGAGCGCCCTCGGCCGCGGCGCGCAGGCTCAGGGGGTACAGCGGGAGGAAGGCGCAGTTGTGCTCGTACAGGTAACCCCGCTCGGCGATGAAGAGGAAGTGCTCGGCATCCCAGCGCGAGAGGCCGCCCAGCAGCCGCTCCAAGAGCAGGTCCCACAGGCCAGGCTCGGGCAGGCGAGGGGGAGAGAAGGCGTCTGCGGTGTGATCTGGAAGCAGGAGGTTAAACAGAGCCTGGAAAAAAAAGGAGAGGATTGAAGCCTGGCAGACAGCCTTTCGCACCCTACCCAGAGCACCGAGCAGGAGTTCGGTCAATCTCCAAGGTTTCACAGCAGCACAGAAGCCAGGCTGAAGGGCTTTGCAGCAAGGACACCTGTAAGGCTGTGAAAAGGAGCAAACGCAATCTCGAGGTGAATAAAGACTCTGGAACAATATCCAGCACCAATCCCCACGGAACTGGACTGGGAAAGCTGCTCAGCCCCACGCGCCGGCACACCGAGCTGCGTATGCTCACGCCAGACGCCACTGCTATGCCTCCTGCTCTGCTCAGGCTGGCATTATTGTCCCAGCTAACCTCCAAGGGACAGGAGAAACTAGAGAAAAAGCTTTTCCCAGAGCAAACTGATGCAGAAGACAGCAGCTGATTGCCAGGCTCCCTTTCTAGTCTTTAGGTCTCTATTGCCTCTGCAGCTCGGCACGAATTAAGGGATTCACTTTCTGCAGAGAGCAGGAGCTTGTGGTGCTGACCACATTTTAAAAGGGGAGAAAAAAACCCAGAATGCTCATGAAGTATGCAACTCAAGGCATTGTAATGTCATTCCAAATTACAATATGTTTAAAAAACCCTAAAAAACCTGGTAAATTTTGTAGCTTAACTACATACAGCATAGGATGAGTCCCCCTCACTGAATTCAGCGTTGGCAGAGAAAAGACAAAAGGCCACACTGAACAAATTGGGACTAAAAGACCTACAAAGCTGCTGTTTTACCATGAAGCACTACATCTGGTCTAACCAGGCCTCTGGCACTTGTAATACGGAGTCTTTCATCTCAGCTGATGGTTCCACTCAGCCCTAGCCAGCGGTGGCCGGGGCTGCCACAACGTGCCAGCTGGCTGGTGGCCTGTTGCTGAAGAGCTTTCTCAGGCCAGTTTTGTTTCAGGAGGGCCGTGGCTCCAGACAGACTCTGCTGGCTGTCTCGGTACACACAGGTGGGATGGAGTGAGTAACCAAGCTCCCCCAGGCTCAGAGAACATCTCTGGAAACGAGACCCGGGAGGAAGGCGCAGGAGGAGTTTATTGCCCCTTTCTGTGGATAAACAGAGACCTCAGCCCCTCCACGCTCACAACAGTGGCGTGAAAACAGAGTAAGCTGCAAGGAAACTTATGTAATTCTACTTAACAGCAACCCGCCTCCCTGGATGCAGCTGGTCTGCTGGTTCTCCAAAGGAGAAGATGATTTCCCAGTTAAGCAGAAGGAGGCAGCGGCGCAGGGAGCAGCCCCGGAGCAGCCTGTGCCGGGCGTTGCAGCACCTTTGGCTCAGGACCAGGAGACTCACCTGCAGCAGAAGCGTCAGGGCTCTGCAGCGCACCCCAAACCACAGGACCTCTCGGAGGTGGGGGTCTTGCCTGCTGACCAGCTCCATTCTGAGCTCCAAAGTTGCTTCAGTAGGTCATTGACGTCCCTGGAAATTCTCTCTCTGGTTTTGGATATCTGAATTCATAAACAGAGAGGACAGACACAGAAAGGTATTTCTGGCTTTGGCCACGTTTGTAAATTATGCGCTTTTATCTACTATCAGGCACTTCAAAGGGCTGCAAATCTCTATGAACAAGGCAGTCACTTATGAAAACGATCACAGATCCGGGAGATGACACAGAAGACCTCTCTGATATTGTTCCTATTCAAAAAAATATCCCTGACTTCTTAACCTTGGCCAGGAGGCAGAGGGAGAGAGGCTAGAACATGTATTCTGAGCCCATTTCTTTCTTGTAAATACCAGAGGCAGACAGGCTCACCGGCCTCCTCCGCGGCTGCCTCAGCAGAAACACCAGCAGCTCAAGCCAGGACTCCACCAAGCATCTACACACACATTCAAGTTGCAATGAGCTGAATGGGATTTAAAAACTTTTTTTTTTTTTTGAATAGAGACAGAATTAAAATGTGGATTCTGAGTGCAATGCCCGTGTAAGCAGTTTGCTGATGAGGGCTCAGGGCCGGCCAGGCTCTGCCAGGCACACTCCCTCCTCTCTCCAGCTCTCTGCCCTGCATTTGCCCCATGGAAGCTGAGAACAGCCTCCGCGGCACCAACCCCGCACGGAGCACCAGGGCAAGGCTAAGGTGCCTCCTCAGCCACGCAGGCTTCCCCCCAGCCCTTCCACCGATCAGAGGCAGAGTCTCCAGGATGTGACACTCTCACCACTCCACCCTCGCCACCTGCGATTTTCCAGCATTTTGGCAAAGGTCCCGGTCTCCAGAGTGAGGACATCTGCCTGTCAAGCAAATTGCATATGCTAAGGTGGCTCTCGTCCACCTCTCTTCCCTGCAAACCTCACCTGCGAGATTTAAACCGCTTTGTGGAGTCTCACTGCTTTCTCTTCTGTGTATTCTGGATTGATGTTGTGGTACCAGCCATGAAAACTGCTGGCCCGGAGCCACGAAAGGCAGGCAGTATCTGTTATGGAGCTTTTTAAGATAACACAGTTCTTCCGTTGGTTCCCCAGCCACCAACTGCTTTTCAGTTTGAGAAACAGAAGACCCACAGATCTCGCCAGGTTCCTGTGACACCACATCCTGCACTATTTCCCACCTGCCACCTTTCTGATCCAGCGCCTCTCAAAACATACAGATCCCCAAACCAATTGCTCAATGATCTAAAAACACGCTGAGGTTTTTCCTATTACCATTTCACTGATGGAAAAAAAAAAAAAACCAAACAAACTGGCAGGTTAAAAACTGCATGAGAGAGCAGAAAGCAATCCTCAGCAAAGCAAAAAACAAAATCCAAATACGCTCATTTATAGTTCCAGTCCCTAACCACAGGATTATGCTTCCTATTTAGCCACATACAAAAGTTTTGGGTTTGCTTATATTCTCTTCTTGCTCCAGAGCATTCACAGCTACAGACAAAGCAACTAGTGGGAGGCACATTCTCCTGAATCACGAAGCTGCAATGTTATTTTAAGAGAGGGGATACTTCAGCCCAGCTGTAAATTCTATTAAAACGCATTCACAGCTGCAAATCCTATTAAAGCACAGTGGCAAAAATTGTCCCAGCACTTTAAATATTTTTTAAAAAGCAGAGAAAAAGCCTCGGATGAATGTGCCAAGAAGGCTCAAAGCAAACAGCTTTAAAAAGCCTGTTCCTGTCACGACGCAGCACACCTTGTGTAATGGAAAGCAGCGAAGTCTACAAAAAGCTGCAGCCCACAAGCACCGTTCTGGTAGGGAACACGGTGTCAGAGCAAGAATGTCTCTACCCCAAAAAGTGCCACGTGAAAGAGCACCTGCACCAACGAAAAAGGAGACAAAAAGGCAGAAGCGGGTTAAAAATATTTCAGTAGGAAAAGATGCAAAGTTTTAATTAAAGATGTGTTTCTTTCCGTGTTCTGCGCTTCCCTTTGCTCTCAGGTAAGAACTGCGTTTTGCTGGCTCTGGAAACCATGCTAAAAAAAAGGACGTGAACGCAAATAAAATAGACGCTGGGTAAATTATCATGTAAATGAAAATACGATTCCGGCGAGGACTGTGAAGATGCAGTGGAGAGCGGTTTCCACCCGGTGGCAGCAGGCCCTCGCCACAAAGGCTTCTCCTCCCTCCCCACACCCGGCGACCGGCTCTGGGCCTTGGAACGGGATTTTATCGGGAAACCGGCTCCAGGCTGCAGCGTCCCGGGAACACTTGGAGAGTGACGGTTTGGGCACCTCTTGGTACCTCTCCAACCTGCTGTCAAGAGTCAAGAGATTCTCCAGACATATTTAAAAACCTGTTCTAAGCAGGATGCCAAAGAAATAGGATCAAATTTTGGAAATCCTGTTTGCCTAGAGCTGTCTCTGTGGGCCTGGGAGCTCCCGACCTCGCAGCCGCTCTCACTCCTGCCCAGTGGCTGCAGCCCCAGCACCACTTCGCTGGTGTCTGAACGGCAACGGGCACGCTTCGACCCTTCACACCTTTTGCACCAGCTCAGGCACGTGAACGAACCCCACACTGGATCCCAACGCAACCTGACCCTGACGGCTCGGCTCGAGGCCACGGACGAGGCTGGAGCTCAGCGTTCGGGGCCGAGCACGCCGCAAGGCGCCAAGCCCCGAGAACGCGCCGCGGCCGCTCCCTGCGGGTGTTCACCTTCGCCATCGCACGCAGCAACGTACCCAGCCCCGCTCTGAAACGCGCAGCCGCCAGCTCCCGGGGAGCCGCTGGGGACTCCCGCTGCTCCTCGTGGCCGGGCTCGAAGCCCGGGGACAGGGGACAGAAGCGAAAGGCAGGGATGGTTGGTTTCCCCTCGCTGCGGAGAGAAGACGGGCTGGCAATCCGCCGGGACTCC